CGACGGGTTAGATGCCTCGAGCAAGTGTCACTGCACAGTACACACAGTGCACCTGGGCACTGGGACCGGGAGAGCTGAAAGGGATGCTCTTTAAACAACCAGAAAAAGCTGCTCACGTGCAATGTTCCTCCAAGGGTAATCATTTGTATAGATTTGTCCTTCAGAAGTCATGTGTGCCTAACACCATTAGATATGGTCCTAGTCTTGAAATGAACCCTTCAGATGGCACAAGGGGGTAATTGGGAATCTCAGTGGAAAGACTGTTGGAAGGTGAAACTCATTGTGCATTGTTTCTCACCATTAATTTTTCTAGGCCCAAACCTGAATGATGAGCTTAACGTTGCTCTTGAAATGCAGGTCACTCTGAAATGTTGGAAGCACCAGCAGACTCTGACTCGGGTCAAAAGAACAGGAGAAAAACTCAAAAAAAAAGTTATCTTGTTCACCTAAGGAAAGCCTTTAGTGATGCTGACAGTCCGACCTTTCCCAGAGAAGGTCTAAAATCAAAACTGGACACTTGAACTGCGATTTTTCAGAATCAGATTTGCCAGTGGAATGGATAAGCATTTCAAAAACTTTGGGGCAAGGTGTGAAAATATTCTCTATTAGCAAATCGAGGCTTGTGACATATAAGGATTAGGAACGAGCATTTATCCAATCCACAGTGCCTTGGACTGGATATGAAAGGGGGATATGAAGTGCAAAGAACCAGGTGAACCCCTCAAAGATGCGCCCTCCCGAGTAACTGAAGAGGCACTGGCTAAGCACAGCTATGTGTTGAACCAATAAAATCTTACTGGTGATTTTTTACTTTTTAAAACCAAGGTATAAAGTAACCCTGGCATCCCACTACAACAGGCGCTGAGCAGAAGGCGCCGTTCTTGTGGAAATGGAGTCTCTGGGGTCACTGCACACCACCCTCTCTCCCACTGCTGGCAGTGGGGGGACGCGCCAAGTGTGGTCTACCCCACTGCTACTGAAGGCAAGGCTCTTGGAGGTCAGGAGGGCGCCAGGGCCCCTTGGCATGTGCGGTGGGGTCTCCATGAGCTGCTCATGAGTCTCTGAGCTCTCAGATAGGGCTCATGGGGCTTTTCTAAACCCTCCAGTCAGAGCCAAAATATGGCCTTGGCAGCCTGGGTGCTGTGCCTTCCTGGACTCCCCTTCCTGCCTCCACCACACACACAAAATACCTTAAAGTGCGTTTTACAACTCCGTTCATATAGACATGTAAAATACATTAACATTTCCTATGAAAAACGTTTCTTTGGCTTAAAAGTCTGACTTTTTTCTTGTTAGGGGAAAAATAATAATTAAAACATTTTATGGCCACCTAAAAGTCCTGTCCACCCTAGGTGCTGGCTCTGGTGTGCTGGGGGGAAGCAGGCCCCGGCCACAGGCACACACACCCAGCTGCAGGAGAAGCAAATCTTGGACATAGTTTAGCCTCAAAATCCTTCTTCTTTCTTGAACTTATGTCAGCCAAAAGGGGACGTATTTAGTCAAGAGCGAGGACACTGCAGCTAGTTGCCCATCCCGCTAGTCACATCTCTCCCTGAGCTGTCAGCACCCAGGGGAGAAAGGCAAAAAGCCTGCAACATCTCCGCTAGCTCTTGAGCACCTGGAATCCCAACCTGCTACAAGCATCAAAAAGAACACTACCTCAACTGATGAGCAGCGGTCATTCTGCTGGGTGCTTCAAGGAAATCGCATAAACCCAACAGCTAACCAAATCCCTGATTCTGGGGAAAAGTCTGAGAGAAGATAACCAGGTCTGTCTTCAAGGGTGGCCAAGAAAGAACCAAGATCGGTCCATGTCCTATCGCGGCATGGGCCGGGCTACAGGTAAGTGCTGCGGGAAACAGGACAGGGACGTGGGACCACCTTCCAAGGCCAGCTGACGGCAGGTTTTCTGAACAGTGCCTCAGAATTTTGTGGTAAGGAGGTACCAGACATGGTCCTACTCAATCAGAAATCCCCCAACACAAACACCTCCGTTACCCCCACTTCTGTTTTCCTGCACGAGGGATGGGGTGAAACAGGGGAGTCAGCAGTTGCAAGTAATGAGGCATGAATCAAGCTATCATGTGAGTCTCCTGGCTGTCTTTATTTTAAGCCACATCCAAATCCTCTCCCGGAGGTGGCTAAGCAGAAGCAAAACATTAAAAAATAAATAAATAGCTGCAAGGAAATTGGCTTTTGAGAGAAAGAGTGGGGAATAAATGCCAAATCTGGGAGGAATCGATACGATGCAAACCAAATACCAGGAGTTTGCTGAAAGCATTAAATGCTTTTTCCTGGATCGCAAACATCCTGCTCTCACAAAACTTACCCAAAGTCATTTTAATAAATCCTTCTGATGAGAAGTAAAATCTGAAACTGAGTTTTCGTCTCCCCCGTGGAACTTTTAGCAGTCACTAAATCCAAAACTCCACGGGCATGCCAACTGTGGTATGAATCATAAAAGACATTTCTCTGAACTCAGCCACCAGCATTGACAGTTTCAAAATGTCCTGGTAATTCTGTCTACAGAATTCTTGGACACCAGCTGCTCCCTCTGGTGGCCAAACACGGCTTTCATTTCCCCAGGATGCCATCAAAAGCAAATTTCCAAACACACTGAAGCGATGGGGGAGAAAGAACCCTGCCTCTTGAAACTTTTAGGATGAAAAGCTATATTGATAAAAGGGGCATGAGTCAATGGCGAAGCAGATCTTTCAAACCGTGTGGGTCACCTTCAAAATCTCCAAGACTGGTATTGTTCCAGCAACCAAACCACCATTTCCTAGGTAATTTTACTTATAACATTTTTGAGCAAGAGGATAATGGCCAATCATTTCAAAATATTAAGAGGGGAGAGTGTGCCACAAAACCCCCAAACAACAGTTCTTTCTTTAAAGAATAGCTAAGGGATCAGATTATTTGTGGGAGTTTCTTGCATTGGGTCCACCCGGTTAACTACACTCGTGCTGCCCCCAAGACAGAAACGCTCATTTCCATCACGGTTTCCATTAGATTTTCTGAAGTGAATGAGAGTTGCCTGGCAGCTGATAATTCAGCTCTCCAATTGCTCATTGCCATCTCTTCATTAAAGCTTCTATTTACAGTTTCTTCAAAGGACAGAAAAAAACATGCTGAAAACGAAACAATGAGGCAAAATAAAACTGAACCATCTAGAAATAAAACATTTTCAGAATGGGACTGCGGGGGTGGGGGGAGTGAAGGGGCTTTTTAAAGGTCTCGATCCTCTTTTCTGCACACGGGATGGCTTTCTGTGCTCGGAACAGTGGTGTTAATTCTAACTTGGCCTTAACTGCTCCGATGACTCTTTAAAAATTTGTTCTTTTTTTCTTTTTTCCTGTTTTACCAACTCCTCATTAAGGACAACTGTACACTCTCCTGACTCCTCTCAAAAACTTAACGTATACATCTAAAAAAAAAACTATAAAAATCTTCAAATGTGCACATTTTTCATAACCTAAAGTAGAGGTTGACAATGCTTTTCTAAGAAGCATTATGTAGGAATAAGCAAGTTTCAGCTTCTCAAGCCCTATATACGGGCTTGGTCACAACAGCCACCTCTGCCCTGATACGTACAGTCTGAAAATGGGTGAGCGTGGCCACGCTCTAACAGAACTTTATTTATGGACATTGGCATTCAAAGTCCAATAAAATTTCATATGTCATGCAAGCTTTATACAAACACACACACATATTTTTTCAATCGTTTAAAAACAAAAACCATCATCCTTAGCTTGTGACCATGGAAAACAGGTGGTGGGTGAGACCTGCCCCAGGCCAAAGTTTGCCCACCTTGCTCTCAACCTGCACCTTTACCTGAAAAGAGTGGCCGTTGTGGGGTGCAGGCATCAAGAGCAGCTAGAACAAGCACCCTCTGGTTTATATAAATCACGGGAAGCTAAAGTTTCCAAATGACCTACATACTTCTCTCTCCCCAGCCCCGTTCTCTTTCCCTCCTCTCTGCCTCTCAGGCATGCCTCTCCTGAATTAGCGCTCCGGCCCTGCTCCAGGCGGGCAGGCATCATACCTGCTCTTTGATTTCTTGGAGCTTCCGGCTCTGCTCTCTGATATCATGGAGAAGCTGCAGCGCTTTGTCGTCCTCCTGGGACACCTCCATCCGTGCTTGCTCCAGACTTCGCTTTAAGCTCTGCGGAAAGCAAAAATTTTAATAGGGTGCCCTGTGGATTCTGCTGTGTTTGAAAAGGCTCATTAAGGGAGCTGCAAGCTGCTGTGCAGACACCAGGAAGCTCCAGGTAACGGACCAAAGTTGACAGTTTCCGGCTGGCTGCTGACTCCAGTTCCATCCTGTAAAAACCCCGGTTCAAGAGACAGCCTCTCCATCTGTGACCTCATGGACCCAGCCCTTGACTGCATCAGCCTGTCTCCTGTCACCATCTCCCTGTCCCAGCAGATACTTACTTGTATGTCCAGGACTAAACCTAGTGCGATCCCCTCGGCTGTTACCATCGCCATTTGAAAGGTGACAGTCTCATCTGGCATCTTAGTCAGATGTGTGTGCCTCCTTCAAGGTAGCAACAAGTTCGCTCTCTGCCCAGTTGTCATTAAAGACTCCAAGCAGTCTACCTGCCACCTGCTGGCTTACGCTGCCCGGAAACCTTCGTCCATAAAGCCCCCTCAACACTTGGGCCGGCACTGAAATACACATCTGAGATACAGAGCTGAATAACAGCCAAAATCTGGAATGGAAACATTGCATTATTCTAAATCACATTCTAGAGATTTCCTCTCCCGGGTGGGAAAACAACCTGGAAAAGGCGTGATTCAACTTCTGGAGACTATTTCATTGGGCACATTAAAAAAACACCTGAATGAAAATTTCAACAAGACAATGGAGAAGACAGTCTAGTCTAAGTGAAGGAAAGGGGGAAAAACAAGTTGCATGGTAAGTGATGACGGACGATCTGGGCTTTCGAGACTGAGCTCTCTGGTTGCTACACCAGTTTCTAGTTGCTGGGAAATTGATTTCGCGCAGACTCAATACATTTTCCTGTGCTTCGTTGGGCATTTGGTTCCCGAGGCTGATTATGTCGGACACGATGTGGACCACAGAGGTTGGGATGGGAGATGTCAGGACCCTGAGCCACTGGCTGCCCCGATGGCCGCTCCCATCTCCAGGCTCCGCAGCCTCCCTGCACTGCCTGAGTGACGCCTCCCTGCACTGCCTGAGTGACCTCCGACGCTGTCCGCCACAGGCAGTGCTCCTGTGCATGCCCTCTCTCCTGCCTGCCACTAGCTGTGATGTGCCTCAAGAAGCTGTCATGAAACAGGATGAGACACACACAACAGGAAGTGCCACCTCCGAGGGAAGGGGGCTTGGGGAAGGCTCACACTGCATTCTGTGATGTAGGTAGCAAGGTCCTGCTCCAGGAGGGATCGCTGAGTCTCAGAGGCCTTCAGCTCCACCTCCTTCTGACTAAGCACAGCCTCCACCTCTGACACTCTCCGATGTAACCGGGTCATTTCCTGCTCCATCTGAAATAAACACATCGACAGGTTAAAAGGGCCCGCAGAGGCGCCTTTGGAGCAAACAAATCTCAAGGAGCCTCCGAGACCACCTGGTGGTCAAGGCTGGCGCTAAATGGCCAAAGGCTGGGGTGGAAATACCATTGTTTCTTCGCCCGGGAGAGCTCAGTTCTTCGTAAGGAGAGTCACAGTGCTAAGTCACTCCTCTCATTCACGTCTCGGTTCACACTTGGTCACTTCTCTAACCCAGTGAGCAAGCAAGCCACCACCATCTTTCACCTGTTTGCTTTTTTTGGTTTGGGTTTGTTTTTTGCAGACGTCACTTTACTTTTATCCCAAATCCATCTTGATCCCCCCCATCTCCTTGCAAAGATCTAGAGGACAAATCCAGGACAGGGCAAGGAGCTACAGATTCGTCTGCACTCTTAGGAGTCCCAGGCAAGCAGTGACTTTTAGGAGCTTCCAGAGAGCTGCCCCTGGGCAGGAACAGTGAGCGTTAAGAGACGTTGAGCATAATCAACACAGTGGCCGCAGTTACATAAGCAGGAGTTTTAAAAGCCTAGGATGAGAGACTTCGAATCACTCAAAGCAGATGGGATGCATCTCAGCCACAGGTGAGGACCCGCACCACCTGCCGGAAGACGCGGACATCTGGCTGGGTCATGCTGAGCAACGGGCTGTGTTAAATCCGGGGCCTCCTCTGGTTAAGATTTAAAGGATTTACAGCAGCGTCAAGGCCTGAATCCACGTCCCTCTGAGCTGCCGCCGGAGGCGCGACTTCAGCGGGCGGGAGTGCCTCTCTCGCTCTGCTTGGATCAGGCAGCTCAGCGCCAGCAGCGGCCCCAGGCGGGTCCCTCGGCATATACTGACGGGAGGGTCCTGGAGCAAGGAGGGCGGCCGATTGCGGAAATAAATACCTTGTGGCACTTGTCCTGGGAGTCTTGCAGCTCTTTGCTTTTGATGAGAAGTTTCTTTTCCATGGAGCTAGTCTTGGCAGGGGAGTCCAGACCCGACACAACAGACCTAGAGAGAAGAAGACCAACATCAAGGTGGCCAGCAGATGGGCCTGGAGAGCTGCGTTCACGCATTGCAGCAGCGACAAGAAACCTGACAGAGCCTGGAGGGTCAACAACAACACAGCAGGCTCAAACAGCTTCAAATGACACTGGGCCAGGAGATGGAAGGAAGCAAGAAGCTTCTGGAAGTATGTGGGCCTGTGTGCAAATTCAGCTCCCTGCAGTGACTTGGCCACTGGAAGCCTTGGTTCTCATAGCTGCCAGGTAGAATGATATTAAAAGACCTATGATAGGGCCCTCCCTGGTGGCGCAGCGGGTTGAGGCACTAAGAAGCTAAAGCCACTTCAGCACGAGTTTGATCCCTGCCCTGGAGCTGACCCACACGGCATAGCAGACCTCTCCTATCTCCCCGCTGCTCCCCTCAGCAGTGTACTTCATCGATCAGCCTGTTCTGCTCCCCCCCACTCTGTCTCTGGTGAAGCCTCTCACCGCCCCTGCACCTCTGGCCTGTACCCCAGTTCTGTATGCATAAATAAATCAATGTTTAGAAAAAAAAAAAAAGAACTATGATCTAGAAGAGAGCAAGCAGAGGCCTCAGCATTGTGCCCACATGGCTCCATTCACTTATTCACCCAACAGGTAGATACTGTGCAACTATTCTGTCCCAGCAACTGTCCCAGGCCCTGGCGCTGCAGTGAACAAGACATTCACAGGGGAAACAGAATGCATCAGGCAGACACCCCAACAAACTGACAGCTGCTAACTTCTGTTAAAGGAAGGGATGGGGTTACATGAGATGTGAGAAGAAATGGGTTGGGGCATGCTTTGAGCAAGGATAACCAGGGAAGGCTTCTTTGAGGGGTGACATTTTTGCCAAGGGTGTTGGTTCTACAAAGTTTTGGAAGGAAACAATTTCCAGAGAGAGGAAAAAAAGACAAAGGCCCTGAGGCAGGACACAGCTAACATAGCAAGTGCTTGATAAATATCATCAGCTTCTACACTGACCAAATTATTGCTTACTCCAAGCCCAAGCTAGCCGGTTTGATTCTGTCCCATTTTATAAGAACAACTTCGGTTTTGCACAGTAGGCTGAATAACGCCCCTCCCTAAAGTGTCCATACAGTAACCCTAAAACCCATGACTCAGTTACCTGACATGGCAAAAAGGATGCTGATGTGACTAACTTAAGGGTTTTGAGGTGGGGAGATCACCCTGGATTCTCTGGGTGAGCCCAAAATAATCACAAGGGTTCTTGGATGCTGGAAGTGAGGAGGGGAGAGAGTCAGACAGAGAAAGAGAGAGAACAGAAGAGGCTGTGCTGCTGGCTTTGAAGATAAAGGAAGGGGCCAGGCTTCAAGGAGTGTGGGCAACCTCCAGAGGCCAGAGAATGCCGGGGAATCCATTCTCCCCACAAGGGCCCTGAGAGCACGGCCTCATCTATGCCTTGATGTCAGTCCAGAACTGTCACATGTAAGTGGGTGCTTTCTGAAGCTACTAATCTGTGTTTGTTACAGCAGCTGCAGGGAACGCATCCACTTGCAGGCAATGACAGCCCGTCTGGCTCTGTCCTGAAGCTAAGTATGTTCCAACGCCTCATTCCCCACAAAAATCTGTGAGGCAGAAATGCCTGATTATTTTGATTTTACAGATTAGAAAGCTGAGGCCCAGGAAGGTTAAATAACCTGCCAGTTATTCATAGCTTCCATTGATCTCTACAGATAGTGGGGACCCTTCAACAACTCGGGGCCTCGTAGAGTAGACTAGAATGGGCTAGAACGCTCTAACCACAAAAGTACTCAGCCAGGGATATGCAACTCCACCTCATCACTGGATGCAGTCACTTATGGGCAGAGATGCCAGTTTCTGTGCAGGGCTCAGTAGCCAGCACCCTGCACGCGAACACTGGGCTGGGTGAAGGGTGGGGCTGGAGCATAAAAGCACCCGCTATCCAGGGAAGCATGAGCATGGCCTAGCTCACCGCCACCCCACAGCCCCGTCTTTGTCACCATGACCACGGAGTTGTGGGCGCTGGTTGCTGACAGGCCTTCATGTCTTACTAGCAGCAGATGCCCAGGGCTGGCGACATTCTGAAGGCAGCGGCTTACCCACCTGCCACAGGGCAGCCGAGTAAAAAGAGGCAGGGAAGTCTGGCCTGCCATTCGCTAGGCATGTGACCTCGAGCCTCAGTTTCTTCATCTGTAAAATAGAAACAATCCTCAACCTGCTCCCAAGTGTTCTGGCACAATGGCTGGTCCACTGTGAGGATGCAATAAATGTCAACTGTTATCCCTGTCGACTGTTATCATTGCCACCCATGAAAAGGTGCGAGCAGCATGTGCTTCCCAGGCCAAAACATGGGGCTGAATTTGCTCTGTGCTGTAATTCACATTAAAACAAACACTGATTCTTCACGGGAATAGGCAATAGCACCTGAAGTCCAGAAATATATCTTTTTTAAAAATCTCACTTTAGAAAAAAAATTAACCAACTTCTGCATCTCTCACCATCGCTTCCTACCTAAATCTAGCCCAAACACATATTTTGTTTTTCATCTGAGAGGAAGTGGGTTGCCGAGCCTGGCCTTGGGCTACCTCTGCTGTCCCCCTGACTCCTGGCTGCATGCTGGTGGGTAGGCTAGAGAAAGAAGCCCCAAGCCCCCAGGGTAGGAAGGATGAGCCACAGACTGGCCCATGATCCCTCAGTAATCCGGTAATCCAGAGCCGCATGTCACCAAATCACAGGCCCTGACATGAGTCAGGATGACAGCAGAGGCCACACTCTCTGCACCTGGGAGAAGCCGGCACCCTTCGGAGGCAGGATGACAAGGCGCCTGCGGAGGATGGGCAGAATTCAACATCTCGGAGTGCCCACTCCACTCCACATGTTCGTGTCTAAAGGGCCGTGCGTTGGCAACAAAACTTTATTCACAAAAAATTATTTCTAAGTCTCTCATTAACGGAGCCCAGAATGGGGGAGCAGTATGGCTCGCGCCCACCGCACTCCCAGAAGACCATACGATAGCCTCCCCGCCCCTCATCCCCAAGGTCCAACTCCCTCATTCTGCTATTTTGATGCTTGACAAATGTGCACTGTTTGAAGTTCTAAGTACAGCAATTAAGAGCTCTTCAGAATAAAGGTGCTAAAGGAGTCTTTTCTCTCTCTTTTTTGTTTTTAGAATAAATAAAAATCCCATCTAAAAAAAGCTATGGGAAGAATGCTCTGACTAAACCCTGCTTGTAGCAACAACCCCATGATCAACAATGGGACTGGAGCACTAGGTGGGAGGATAGAGGGCAAAAGGTCACCACGATGTTCTGGAACTTCCCTGGTCTGCTACCTGGATGCTGGGCATTAGAACTGCCTGGAAAGTGGTCAAAGATTACAATCATCAGGCTGTGAAAACACTGCCTGTGATGGACACATGTCATGTTATGTTTGTCCAGACTCACAGATGGGTGACAAGACAAACCCTGGAGTATACAGTGGGCTCTGGAGGTAACAAGGCGTCGCGGCGGTTTGCTGACCTAACAGATGAACCTCAAAGGGTAGCTGAGAAATCACTGTGCCTTCCTCTCAGTGTTGTTATATCCTAAAACTGCACTTATAAAGGAAGCATTTAAAAAAATGTCCAGGACCCTACCAGCCCAATTAAGCCAGATACAGAGAGGACTGAGATCAAGTCTGAATTACAACACTAGGTCTGCTGTGATTAAGGTCCAGTGTTGACCCTAAACTCAGAATGTGACTATCCCTAGAACTTAGGTCCAGGTGGCATTTTGGCCAGGCCATCTGGTTTCAGGGGCTTTTGCTCCCTCCTTTATTTTGAAGTTTATCAAAGTGGAGCTATAAATTTCAAAACAAAGTACAGGTTTCTGACAGTAAGTGAAGACTATCCCTATTCCATGAATTTCTACAAAAGAAATATAATGGAAACAGGTATGGTTTCATTTAATATATTCACATTCTAGTTCTTTTTCTTATAGGCATTTAAGCCAATGCAGTCACTCGCACCAAAGATAAATTCTCAATATGTACTGCTTGAATGAACAGATCCCCTCGACAGATATCCTAAAATATTATCACAACTTATTTTCTTTTTCTGGGAACTCCTTGAGCTGTCCTTCTGACTTTCAAAGCAATGCCAAAGGATTGCTGACATTCCCTTCGTCTAGAACTGACCATAATGTAAATCATAGTTAGAGAGATTCAGTCCAAAGTAGACCTTGGAATCACCGACTATTGCCGAAGACAGCCCTGTCCTCTTCAAGTACAACTCTACCGTTCTAAAAACATCCTGAAGAGGGTCATTTCATCAAGAGTAGTATTATTATTTAAAGGGCTTATGCCAGTGTTGATGAAAGGAAAGTTTGCAAAAAATTCCTTAACTGGTTAGAACTCAAAGAGGGACAGAGTCTACCTGCTAACTAAAAAGACTTCCAAGAATTCTCTTCTAAAAATTCTCAAACTTCAGCAAATACTCTGACCAGCTTCTACAAGTGACTGTATTAATATGTATGTATTATGTATGTATATGGATAGATGAATGGACAGAGAGGCAGCCAAACAGAGAGCCAAACAGAGAGATGAATTCACAAACCTTTTTTATTTCCATAAATATAAAAACTCTATCACCCCGTGAAAAAGTACCTGTGAACCAGTTGTTCTCAACCAGAGATAATTTTGGTCCCCAGGGGACACTTGTTAATGGCCAGAGACCCTTTGATCTCCATGACTGGGGTGGGCGTACAATTAACTTCTAGGGGGAGGAGACCAGAAATGCTAATTTACCTCCTATAATCCACAGGAAACTGTCCTGGCCAAAATGTCAACAGCAGCAAGTTGAGCAACCCTGCTACAGAGGCCAGAAAGCAAGCCACAGTTCCTCTGCACAGGAAGTAGGCATGTAGGGGAGAGTCAGAGCCGCTATCTTTACCATCAGGGCCAGTGCACATTTGCGGAGCACTTACTACTGCCTGGCACTGTCCTCAGTAGTCCACACGTTACCTC